TCTTTCTTTTTTTTTTTTTTTTCTAGAATGTAAGTTCCTGATTTGAGGTCGCATTATAGTCTGATTGTCATGTTGTTGTCACCTGATTGAATAAATAATCTGAATTTATTGTGCATCTTGTTCTTCTTGTTCTTGTTCTTGTTCTTCTTTTTTTTTTTTTTGACAATAATGCAACTTGTACATGTAGAAGTCAAGTCATCACCGGCTTTGAAGAAGAACTCTTAAAGAGTTTTCTGGGTTTTTCACCAACCATGCTTCTTCCCCTTCCCAACTGACATTTGTAGAATAATCTGGAAACTATTTTGAAAGCTGCATGAGCGTGCGAAAAAGAGAAAGAAAGAGTAAACATTGAGAGAGAATGGAGTGACTGAGGGAGATAAGAGAGAGGGAGAGAGAGAGAGAGGAATATTTTGATAGTGGATCGAGACAATTTTTTTGGCAGGATGAAAATTCAAAAATATTTAGGCAAAAAAAAACTCAAGAGGAAAACTGAAAAAAAAAATGTGGGGTCATTTGACCCCTCATGACCCCATGTGGATCCGTCCCTGGTGCCAAGTGCGTGTTCCATATGCATTAAAGTTGGGGGTAATTACAAAAATACCCTTAAAATTAGGGATGTTTTGAAAAATTATTTGAAAAATTTTTAGAAAGTAAAAAATACTGTGTAAAATGAAAAAGTGACGCAATGTCACTTTTTTTATAAAAAAATGTCACTTTTTTAAAAAAAGTAACACAAACTCAAAAAAAGTGATAAAACTAAAAAGAAAGACAAATACCAAAATAGCACCATCCATTTGTGCAACACCAATGATCATGTTCTTAAAATAATCACCACGTTCAGGCCAATCTACATGCTGATTACGTAAAAAAAAAAGTGACAATGAAAATGTGATCTATTGTCACTTTTAAAGTTAAGTTTTACTTTTTTATTAAAAATTATATACAATATCACTTTTATTAAAAATTGATATTTGTCACTAAAAAAGTGATAGAAATCAAGAAAGTAACTGAAAAAAGTGACAAACATTGACAAAGATTAAAAAAGTGACAAACATAAAAAAAAAAGTGACAGAAATTCAAACAAGTGACAAAACACCATTTAAAAAGTAGAATAAGTTCAATAAAGTAACAGAAAAAAG